GTGTTAAACCGAGAGGTTTTGGGGTTTCCCGTTCTGAAAACGCCCGGTTTTCAGGTGCTGCCGTGGGGATCTCGTGCGGCAGCGACCTTTGCCGTGTCCGCGTGAGCCTGGCTCCGCAACGTGGAGGAGAAGTTAACGCTGGTGCTCTGGCTAGTTACTGGTGTTTGTTTCAAATCTCATTTTCAGTGTCGTGTGCCTAGAGTTGCAAGTAATTCCTGCTAATTTCCTGCCCTGCTAATCAGGGAGCAATTCCATAGGAAAATGGGATGTTGGCATACTGTTTTGAATTTCCAGCATCAACTAGCACTAAAACCAGCCGTTTTAAAATGTATGTTATTTCTTATCGTCCTGGGATGACTTTCTTTCAAAGATCGTATACAAAAGACTTGGAAAGGAGTTGTGGTCGTGCAGAGAAAACCTGTAAATATTCGGTGTTTGACTTATCTCCAGACATGTTTGTCAAGGAATTCTAGGTTTTTGTGTGTGCGTATGTTGGCTTTATTTTAATGGAGAAGGTAACTGTACCTTGTTTGCTTTTCTGGTGGATAGTACCAGTTTTTTCTCTTGTGTTCTTTTCATCTGTAGTTTCTGCTTTGATCGTGGCTGTTCAGCTCTGTTTACATCCATAGAGATCAAGATTTAAGGCTTATTTTTGAATGTTTAGGTATTAATTCTGTTTCAAGTAAGAAGAGTAAGAGGAAATATGGAAGGCCACTGAGAGAGAGAGAGACGGTCAGGCAGAAAACACTCAGTATTCTGTATCAGCAGCGCCTGAATTTGATAAACTGGCCGGAGAGCAGCTGTGGCGCGTGTCCCCGAGGGGCCGCCCGGCCCCGCAGCAGATGTTCGGAGACCAAGGCTGGAGCAGAGCCACCAGCTTCCTCCCTGTGTCTCCCCACACGCTCAGGCGTGGGGACTTCCTGAGTAGGAACTTGGTTGTTTTGGGTGGGTTTTGCTGTTGTTTTGTTCTCGTTGCCCTTGAGGTTTTTCTTCCATGGACTTGTTTGCTCACTTTTGAACTAGTGGGCAGGAGATAGCTGGAAAGTGAACTGGTTGAAATGGGGGTTCATGGAAAGGAAGAGATGGGAGAAAAGCCTTTCGAAGCTTTCAAGAAGAGAACTGGTGAGGGAAAATTATGTCTAAATAGTTGCTTTCAGTTTGTTCTCTGGATAAGACTAAATGGTAAATGGAAAGTAATAAAACTAAACAGGAAGGAAACTCTCTTGTCAGTGGATTTTGGAAAATAAAAATGTTTAACCTGCTAATTCAGGGTTCTAGTGTCATGATCTAGAAGAAAAAAAAAACCTAAGTTAAATCTTATGTACTTAATTAAATTCTGCATACTTAATATTTTGTTTGCATTTTGCTTACTCTTCCTATTTTGTTTTCTTACCTTAAGGAAAGATTTTTCTGATTTTTAAGGAATAGGCAATTCTGCAAGAGTAAAATTGATTTATTTTTTTTTTTTTGTAATGTAACACTTTAAATGTCAAATTCTTGGTTAAAAAGAAAAAACCCTTTCAGCTGGTAATCTGGGAAGCTGGACAATACAGGAAACAAGTCTTGCTTTATGAACATTCTTTTCTGAAACAGCCCGCATTATTTGCCTTGATTACGCGTTCTAGTTCAGTTTTCCAAGGCCTGATTAAAAATAGTTATATTTACTGTTTGCAATTTATTTTAGCAGCGTATATTTTTGAGTTGTTGGATGTGTTCTCTGAATTTCTTGAATATAATGTCGCTTTAGTTTATAGATGGCATGCTGAATTGCCTTGGCATGCCGTGTCTTACATATTTGTGCTGTTATCTGTCGCTAAATTTTGGATTAATTTAAGTGGGGAGCTCTGTCTTGATTACAGTGAAAGTTGTAGTCCTGTCTGATTAAATATCTGTAGTTAAACAAAAAAGTACACCTTGTTGTCTTCTGAAAGGAGCAGTGATTGGAATAAATGGGTACTGGCAATTAGGAAGGAGGCTTAATAATAATGTAGGGGGGACTTGTCTTGCTTTGCTCCATTTTACATGTGTTTGTGAGCTGTTTTTGTTGTATGTGCATGCGTTTTAACAGAAGTTGTAGGCTCACAACGTAGAGGCAGAAGTGATTTAGTGAATCCTAGCTTTTCAAGCAGGTTTTCCTTAGTTTATGTTATTTAATTTCCTGCAACCTCTGGAGGCTATTTTCAGTTAGCGATGAAGTGGTGTTTGGTGGCAGGGGGGTGTCAGGAATGCACAGCCTGCTGTAGGGTTCAAGTAGTTCAGGATATGATTTCCTTTTGGTCACGTTAATAGTGGTCCTCATGTTATTTCAGGCTCCATAGCTCTTAATTTTGTTTGCTGATTTTCCTTAAAAGTAATCTTTGAGTCCCGAGGAGGCCATTGCTGTGTGGTTGGGACTGAAGTACAGTACTCGGGTTGGGCTCTGTTTGGGACACCAGGTAAGATGTTGCCGTAGAATTACTGTGGCTGTTCAGTATTTTTGTATTAGTTCCCAACTTGAAAAGCAGCCAAGAGTCACCACCAGATATCTTTATTCTTTGGTCTGAACAAATTTTACTGGTCTTTTGAGTTTTGTTCTTAAAATACCTGCCTTGTCTCATCTATATTGTTTTGCAGTAAATTTTGATTTATTTTTGCATTTATTCGTTTATCCTTTATTTAAAAAAAAAAAAAGCTTAGTGTTTGGGTACTAGGTAGTTATAACGGGTTCTACTGCAAGGTGTGCTAATGAGGATTTGAAATTCTTGAGGTTATTTAATGCACTGTTGCCGTGACTGAATTCTCACGATTCCCCAGTTTAGTTTTAGATGCCTGCTTGAGAACATCATAACATGTTCTTGATATTTTTTTGAAATACTGTTTAAGTAGTATAATTATGGATCATCACAGTAGTAATTCTGACTCACCAGTGCCTGATGCTGTACTAACTGTGCATTTTTTTTCTACAGTTCACTTTCGTTCAGACTGGCAGATGGGGCCAATCTTTCAGTAGTGGATTGCTGTTGCTGGAAGTTGATAGTGCTCCTGTAACTAATAGGATGGTATGGGAGAAAATGGCTTCCTGTGATTTCCTTTATGGAAAAGTAAAAACTATTGAACGTGGTTTAAAATGAGTGTCAAAAACCAATAGCTCTGTCTGTTAGATGTCTGCCTTCCTCAGGGGCTTTGTGGAGTGATGTCACCTAGAAGAAGTTAATTTTACATCTCTGTGCTTTTTGAGGTATTCTTGATTATAGATAGTTTTAGCAGCAGACTACTTGCAGACATAGTGAAAAAGAAATTCCAGCTTCAATGTTCTTTGAAACGCGAGAGCTAAGGCCAATGTTCATGAAGCAAAATGGATTTTTTGTTTTTGTTTTGCAATAGAGGTGGAACTTCTTGGAGTTTGCCTGAAGCTATAATAAATATTTCTCAGCCTTTCAGAAAAAGAATTGTGATCAGTATTTCTAAAGACAGATTGCCAAATACAAGTTAAAATTCTGTAATGAGATAGTTACAGGCCCTGATAAAGATTTGAGAGTTTTACTTCATCTTTTTGGTGTGAAATTGACAGTAAAAATCATCTTTATTGTTTCATTGAAATATTTCTTGCATTTTTCCACTAATAGCTCTCTGTGTAGATGTCTCTGAGGGGGCTGGGGAAGTCCTTATTTCCAAATGCAAGAGTAAGACTTGTTGCTCAAAATAATCAAAATAATTGATTTCATTTGGTGATACCTAAACATGTCATTTCTCTAAAGAGACATCTCCCTTTTGTTTCATCAGGGAGTTTTCCCTAAGTGCTATGCTTAAAGCCTTCAGGAAGACAGTCACAGGCTTCAGTAGTGTAGAGGAAGACATTCCTACTGCAACAAAAGGCTGTTTTCTTCTAATTATGCTGTAAATGTCTGTGAAGATAGATTATGGAAATACTAAGCGAGTCAGTGGGCAAACTTTAATGTTACAGAAAGACCACAGATCCTGGCATGCATCTTGTTAGATGAACAGGCTATTGGTATATGCACCTATGTTTAAATCTGCTCCTCTTACTGAATAGTTTAGTCCAAGACTTGCCTACTTCGGAAGTCACTAAATTGGTTACGTTTCTCACATTTAAAACCTTTACCTTCTGTTTCTTGTACTTTGTCAGCAGCTGCGAGTTGTAATGAATTTTATAACTTGCAAGTAAACTGATTATTAGCTAGTCGTTTAGAAACTAATTTGATTTCTGAGTATAATTGATAGAAAGTTGACGGTTTTGCTGATTACTTAAGGGAAAAAGCAGTAATACCCTAGAGGTGGGGGTCTCGCCAACCTCTTACTCATCTCATTTGTTTTAAATTCCAGTACGTAATTATACTTGTGCTTGTTTGTTTATTTTTACCCTAATGTATTTTAGTTGCTAGTCCTGACTGCTCTCTGGGAGGAAATTGGAGAAGCAATGTTAAGGAAGCTAGAGCTTGAGGGACAAGCAGAAAATTAAAATTTGTAGAAAGAAGCTTTAATGGTAAATATTTGTGTCCTTCGGTATGTGTATTTTTTTTCTTTTAACTAATAATAATACTTATTGTGGTCAGATGACTGAATTGTATTTTATTCAATAACATTTCTAAATCTGCCAATCTAATGCATGAACAGACTAACTTTGCAAGAGCTGTTGTTTTTTTTTAGCTGATTAATCTGTGATTCTTCCCACTCTTTCTGTTAGCCAGGGTGATAGCTCTTCACACATACCTTGACTCTGAACCTCAAATACAGAGATATTCTCAAAACTGAGGTCTAAGAGAACAAAGATCAAAGCAAACGCTTACAAGTTCCACTTTAAAGTGCTTACTGTAGTCCTTCAATGTTCTTTCTCTGCTGCAGCAGCAGACTACCCCTGTTGTAGCTTTGAGGAGTTCTCAATCATCCTGTACGAAAGCACCATTTCTAGGTTCTCTTCCCATTCAGAGAAGGCCTCTCTTTCCTCAGCATTGCTATGCTTGGTTTGTCAGACTAAGGGAAATTTGTTTGATAAGGGACCATCTTCAGAAGGACAGCAAAAGGTGTCTGCAAAAGTACCTTTGTCTTCTCTGCTAGCACACTGGGACAATGTGTATGGCAGACCTCAAACCACTAGGCTTCAAGAAAATTAAAGAACCGGGATTGTTCTTGAAAGTAAATAGGGCTTGGTGCAATTTGGTGAATGATTGAAGTATCCTTCATGTGATTTCGTATGACTTTGAGTAAAGGTTTCAGCCTTAAGTAGATTAGTACAACATTTTTAATGAGGTAGTAGCCTCCTTAAAAAAAAAAAAAAGTCATATGTTAGATTGTTATGTGTATGAATTTGCTGTTTTAAATTTCTTTTTGTAGACACATTACAACCATCAAAATCTCAGCATGTTAGAGCCTGATGACCACTGTTTTAAAGAATGTTTTTACTAAATGATACTACGGAAAGCTTTCTCGTTGTTGAAGAGTTGCATGATGTAATTGTAATATTCTTGGTATCATAAAGGCTTGGAGAACTAGTGAACATCAAATGAAACGGAAGCTGGTGAATGCTAGCCATGGTATTCCTGACTGCTGTTAGTTGATGTTGTAAGAAAAACTGGGAAAATGAAAGTAAATCAGTACTTTTTAAAGACTTCA